CCTGAAACTATAGCTCAAATCATAGGGCTTCACAAAGCTGGGCACCAGACGAAAGAAATAGTGGAGAATATTGGTGTGTATGAGTGTTTAGTGAGGAACTGGATGCAGCATTTCAAGGCTGGTGGCAGTGTCGCGTTACCTTCTGCCAAACCTCAGCCTGGCCCCTCGAAGAAGACATCTGTTTGTACCTTAACTGTGTTAAAGAAGCAGGTAGAGAGTACACCTAAGATAACTGCTAGAGAACTAAAATTAAAGAACCTACATCTTCTTTCAGAGGTGTCTGTAAGAAATGTTAACAGACGTGTGTCAGCAGTGGGCTACACTAGTCACCGTCAGGTTAAGAAACCGATCTTCAAGCCACAGAAGAAATGTAGGCTGGATTATGCAAAGAAATATCTTCAATGGAATCCTCAACAGTGGTCTGAAGTACTTTGGAGTGATGAAGCAGCCTTCATCGTCACTTGCAATCATGGGGGACACGTGTACTGGCCCAGTGGTAGTGACCTGCTAGACCCACGTTACACCCGAGGGACTGCCAAACACCCAGACTTGCTTATGGTTTGGGGGTGTTTCGGTGCTTAGTGCTGGTGAACTCGTTGTGCTTCCCAAAAACCAGTGTATGAACCAGTATAATTACCTGGAGTTGTGTGACAATTTACCTGAGGCATTTGACAAGTGTGGGGCTATGGTTTTTATGCAGAACTATGCACTGTGTCATACTGCCAAATCTGTAGTTCTGTGGCTTAATTACTGAAGTGAGGTTCTTTAATGGCTGGCCTGGCAATTCCTCAGACATAAACACTATTGAGAACCTCTGGTCAAGAGTGAAATAAAGTTTACTGGGCAAGGATGTTGGTTTCATCCCACGGCTGGAGGCAGCTCTACGTGAGGCATGGAATAATATAACTCTTAAACCCTCAAGAATTTGTGTGAGAGTCTTTCTACATGGCTGAGGGACGTGATTAAGCATAAAGGATGCAGCACCAACTCGAACAATTATGTAAGTGTATTTTTATAAGTGCTTTTGTAAGTGTGTTTTTGGGGGTCTGAAATGGACTAATCTAATTAACATTATTCCTTATGGGAAAAAATTCGTTCGGTATCGGCACTTGAACAGCCTTCTAGAACGAATTAAGTTCATAACTCGCGGTACCACTGTATATTATAATCTTTCATGGTATGACTTGTGTTTTGGTATGTGTGGGGGGAGGGTGGCATAATGCTGTGACTAGCACAGTACGTGTGTGTGTGTGTGTGTGCACGTGTGTACATGTGTATGACGTACGTACGTGTGTGTGTGTGTGTACTCACCTAGTTGTACTCACCTAGTTGAGGTTGCGGGGGTCGAGTCCGAGCTCCTGGCCCCGCCTCTTCACTGATCGCTACTAGGTCACTCTCCCTGAGCCGTGAGCTTTATCGTACCTCTGCTTAAAGCTATGTATGGATCCTGCCTCCACTACATCGCTTCCCAAACTATTCCACTTACTGACTACTCTGTGGCTGAAGAAATACTTCCTAACATCCCTGTGATTCATCTGTGTCTTTAGCTTCCAACTGTGTCCCCTTGTTACTGTGTCCAATCTCTGGAACATCCTGTTTTTGTCCACCTTGTCAATTCCTCTCAGTATTTTGTATGTCGTTATCATGTCCCCCCTATCTCTCCTGTCCTCCAGTGTCGTCAGGTTGATTTCCCTTAACCTCTCCTCGTAGGACATACCTCTTAGCTCTGGGACTAGTCTTGTTGCAAACCTTTGCAAACCTTTGTGGACCTTTGTGTGTGTGTGTGTGTGTGTGTGTGTGTGTGTGTGTGTGTGGTGTGTGTGTGTGTGTGTGTGTGTGTGTGTGTGTGTGTGTGTGTGTGTGTGTGTGTATGAGTATGTGTGTGTGTGTATGAGTATGAGTATGAGTATGAGTATGTGTATGTATGTGTGTGTGTGTGTGTGTGTGTGTGTGTGTGTGTGGTGTGTGTGTGTGTGTGTGTGGTGTGTGTGTGTGTGTGTGTGTGTGTGTGTGGTGTGTGGTGTGTGTGTGTGTGTGTGTGTGTGTGTGTGTGTGTGTGTGTGTACTCACCTATTTGTGCTCACCTTGTGTACTCGCCTATTTGTGCTTTATCAAACCTTGTTTTAAAGCCACGTATGGTTCCTGTCTCCACTACGCCACTTTTTAGGCTGTTCCACTGCCTGACAACTCTCTGACTGAAGAAATATTTCATAACATCCCTTTGACTCATAGGAGCCTTCAACTTCCAATTGTGACCCCTTGTTGCTGTGTCCCATCTCTGGAACATCCTGTCTGTGTACTCATGTGTGTGTACATGTGTGTGTGTGTGTGTGTGTACATGTGTGTGTTAGTGTGTGTACATGTGTGTGTGTACATGTGTGTGTACATGTGTGTGTGTACATGTGTGTGTACATGTGTGTGTGTACATGTGTGTGTACATGTGTGTGTGTACATGTGTGTGTGTGTACACATTGTGTGTGTATACATTGTGTGTGTACACACTGTGCGTGTACATTATGTACATGTGTGTGGGTGCATACGTACATACTTGTTCATCTATATGCAAATGAGTCTTAGCTCCTGGCCCCACTCCTCATATTGCTGGAAATAAATGGTATAAACTACCAACACAATGGGAAAATAAACACATAAGCAGTATAATGTGATCCTTTATTAATAAAGGATCACATTATACTGCTTATGTGTGTATTTTTCCTCATACTGCTACTTGTCAGCTTCATTACCTCCTAACCTCATTAGTCCTTTGTATCTGCTCTTAAAACTATGTATGGAGGCTGCCTCAGTCACATCGTCAGACCATCCTGACAATGAAGAGATACTTCCTGACATCCCTGATGCTTATCTGTGCCTTTAGCTTCTATATCCCTATTTATGAAACAGCCTGATCCTGTCTATCGTATTGATTCCTCCGAGCTTTTTTTTTTGTTATCATGTCTTCCCTGGTTCTCCTATCCTCCAGCGTTATTAGATTCAGTTCCAGTAGCTTCTGCTTTTAGTTCATGTCCCTTTGCTCTGGAACAAACCTTGTTGCATGCTATGTATTTTCTCCATTTTTTTTTTAACATGCCTTTTCAGTTGTTGGTTCCATGGTGGTGCTGTATACTCCAAGTTGGGCTTGATTTATATGGCATAAAGAGCTTGGAATAACACTTTGCTGAGATTCCTGAAGGCTACTCTTACATTTGCCAGACAGGCATTGGCTACCAAAATTTGGCAATAAACAAGGCACTATGCTCACCCCTAGGGGGCTCTCACCCTCCGAGTCTATACTTCATGTCCAATGTGTTGCTCCTTCCCCAGTTTTCATAACCTTACATTGCTGAGGTAGAAATCAAGCATCCACTTATTCAAACCATCTTGCAGTTTATCAACATCTATTTGAAACCTTTTTTTTAGCTCTTTTTAGTATCAGCAAACGAAGATGCATTTGATTTCAATCCCACCTGGAATGTCATTCACATAACAGAAACAGCACTGGTCCTAATAACAATCCTTGTGGTACTCCCACTAGTTATTCTTTCCCATTTTGAGTCTCTTTCCTGACAATCATTCCTTGTTTCCTTTTCCCAAAGGTACTGTTTGATCTACCAGAGTATGTTACCTGTTATTCCTACCTGCACCTCAGGTGTATTCCCCAACCTCTTTTGGGATGCAGTATCAATCCCTTCTTGCAGTCTTATGAAAATACAATCCACCTATCTCTCTCTTCCCCCTTCCCCTGTCTTGCAAAAAATTTTGTCATAGAATGGCAACAGTGATAATATTTGCCTTCTCTGAATCTGTGCTGGTGATTGCTTATCAAACCACTTCCCTTCAAGTGTTCTATCGTTCACCTTCTGATAACCATGCATGGTATGCATATCAGAGAAACTAGTCTATAGTTCAGTGTTTCCTGTCTCCTTTTTTAATTATAGGGCCTACATTAGCTTTTTTCCAGATCTTTAGCAATTGTTCTGTATATGTGATGCAGATCTTAGCTAGTGGTTTAGATAGCACTTCTGCTCCCTTTTGCATAACCTTGTCAGATCCTGTATTCTGTGTCCATCAAAGGTGTCTTTATCTCTCTACCTGTTGTGTGTACAGCATCTATTACCTCGATGTCCCCCTGTCCTCAAGGCTTTCTGGTATTGTTCGTTTCCACTGAAAGGACCTCTTCAAATTGTTTAACCATTTTTTGTGACCTTCCTTCAGTGAAATTACCTGATCTTTTACCGTCATCTTCGTTTTGATGTGGCTGGGAAATAATGTTGTTCAGTTGGCTTTAGCTGCTATGTCATTTTCAAATTGTTACTCAGCCTCTCTCCCCACCCTGGCATATTCATTTCTGGCTAACTTTTTTCACTTCCTTCTCCTTCTCTCTCTCTCTCCTACTCTCTCTCTCTCCTTCTATCTCTCTCTCTCTCTCTCTATCTATCTATCTATTTGTTTATGTTTTATGTTTTTTGTGTTTGTTTTCATGTGAATTAAAATGGCATTAGATACTCAAGCCTTGGCCTGACTAGATACTGAAAATTATGATATTAGATTTCAATCAACAATGTAAATATTCAAGTTGTGCCATGTCAATACATAATATAAATAAAGAGGGGCTCTGGCTCACTCTCAAATATTCAAAATACAGGCATTGCTAATCTTTTTAAATTTTATTAAACTAATCTAGATGTTGCTGAATATAAAAGTAAATGACGCATGTGATACTCTTAATAACTATGAATAAAACCACTGCACATCTTGTATAGGTAAAGCATCAAATGATAATATAATAGTTAAGCATTTAATGAGCTTACAAATTAAAGCAAAACAAGAAAAATGCTAAGCAATATTCTTGATCCTGTTAATAAACCTAAAGTACCCATTATAATAATTTCCCTAAAATACCAAGAGGAAAAAGTGGCCAAACCAAATAGAAAGTGAGCACAGGCCTGTAGCATTGTTAGACTAAAATGCATCCGATTTTGTGTCTACTCTCAGGGACTTACTTGTCCAGGAGTTTGCGCATCTCCTCTGTGCTCTTGGTAGCCTTCACTGCAAGAGGAAAGTTGCTGCTTTGAGTACCAGCTTCATAATCACGGTAATGATCTTTGGAGACTTGAGTATCCCAGACTCTCTCTTGGGATATTTCACAAGAATTCAGAATAATGAGTAAAGTATAAGAGTTCATACAGCCCAAAAGACCATAAATGGTCACTAATTATTGAAATGATACTCCGTAGAAAAATAAGGTGATCCTCAATGCATAAGGAAAACAGAAAACTGGAAGAAAATTATTAAAACTTTGATGGTCAAAACATGTTTACCCACTGAGAAAATTTTTAACATTATTAAAACAAGATGATTGTCACCAATAAGTTAAAAAAAAAAAAACTTTTACAGAGCATTAAGCAGAGAATTCAAGGAATAGTTTATTAGGAATTTTCAACTTAAAGATGATTACACAAAAATAACATTATTCACGGAAAGTTATCGCACATTATATTTGCCTAGAGCAGAGTAAAATACTCATATTTGCAACAGTGATCAATCTCACACAAACTTAATGCTTCCAGTGATAAAGAAATCCCATACCTATTTATACTAATTATATCATGGAATATTATATTATCAAAAGTAAAATGGTTACGGCGTAGAAAGCCGTTATTAATATTGTACATACAATTAGAGGTTGAGTTATGTTTGAAGGCAGCTCTCTTTCTGTGGTATAAAAAAAAAATCAAGCAGCAAGGAAGCAAACTAATAGCCGCTGTATTGTTTATACTTTGAGATGTTACATAACTGCCACAATTTAGTTCTTAAGATCACATACAAATACTTCAATGTACAATATTTAAAATAATAAATGTCTTGTTATGCATCACAAGGGTAAAAAATGTTATATAGCTGCCATCACACTTACATCTCTGGAAGTTAAGGCACTAGACAAGGCATAAAATGTGCACAAATACATGTACAGTATAACAAACTCTCAAAATATTTATGCTCAGGTTCAAGCATTTTTGTTTCTGAGAGAGTGAGAATGCTCATCATCTCTAGAAATAAGTGTATGATAAAAACAATGAAAAAGTAATAAGCACATTTCTATAGTATTCTGGGTTGTAATTTATTATGAAGAACAACAACTCTGGGAACACTAAAGGCAAAATGATTGTCTTAAATTAATAATGCATTATATAAATATTCTTTTGTCTTATTTATCCAATTTAAATTTATATAATATGTACTGTGTGTGTCATTTATCTTGACCCAACAGCCATCTGCCAAAGAAGGAAATTCATTCATCATTATTCATTCAATATTTGTCTTGCCAAAGGTGTGCTGACATCACAGTTCAGATAACCCTTTGATTGCAATCTCCTCCCCACACCTTCAAAGTGTAGACACTACACTTCTCACCTCCTAGACTCAAGTCTAGCTAACAGGTTTCCTGGAATCTCTTCATTAACTCTTAAACTGTCCAAACGTAGATCTAAGTTCACTCGCGTAACACTCCGAATGTACATCTATGTTTTATTTTACATTTGAAGGCATGTGAAATAAAATGTAGATCTATGTTAGAGCGTTACACGAGTGAATGTAGATCTATGTTCGGAGCGTTACACGAGTGAATGTAGATCTATGTTTGAACAGTTTAAGGGTTAAAGTTACCCTTCTAACTGCTCCTAGGACCACCCCTATCCCTCCTACCTCCTGCTTCAGATTTAGACACCCTCATTGTCATCCTAACTCTCACATACATATATATCAGTAAGTATACAGTAAACCATCTTATAAGGCTAGGATGTGTGCTGAAGAATCCATCTTCTGTAAAACAGTATTGTGTAAAGTGAAAAACTTATAGGAAAAATTAGGTCATGTTCCTGACACCTCCAAACATGCCAAATAATTTTTAAACTACAAAAATGTCATAAAAAAATAAATGTTTTACCAAGCATTCTAATACTGGTAGACATTGCTTACTGACATGGAAGTGTGTAAAAGGGATTAATGTGGCCCTGCTGGGCAGTTTGATGTAGCAAGGCTAATCAAAAGTCCTATTCTCAGTACCTATGTACAGCTCTAACATCAAACCACTGCTTTCCTAAATAAGAAGACAGCACTGTGGTAGGCCTACTGGCCCACATTATGAATATCCTACTCAGTTAGGACTGTTAAGGGTACAGCAATGTGTAATTAAGAGCAATTATAATGCATGATTCTGGGTTACTAATCAAATAAAGCAATTTCCTATTGAACTTCCTGATAATGCTCTGAATATCCTCTTCAAACTTTTCATGCAGGTGCTTTATAAGTTATGTAGATTTTGGAAAATATTTGTCTGGCAAGAAAAACATTATGACTTGCTCTCACTCAGTGGGAGGCTGGGGGTGGGGGGGGGTGGGGGGTGGGGTGGTCAGTTTGCAAACCCGTGAACTGGGTTACTGCCTAAATTTGTATGTTACTTTTTTTTTTTTTTTTTTTTTTAGATTTATGGAGCTTCCTATTTTTTTAGAGGAATGTTTCAATTTTTCAGTGGCATTAGGCAAAATGATGTTATGAGAGAGTTTACTGTATACTGCATGTATAAGATACCTAATATTAGGCTATCTAGTTCATTCAATAGCATCATCTTTTGTACTATCCAGCATATAGAGATTACAACACTTTGTTGTTAGATGAGAACTGAGCTAATACTCTGGAACTGTTATGTTTATTTCTTACTGCCCATAATACAGAGGTAACATCCTTGAGCATCAAAGAATTTTGATTTTTCTAAAAAAAAAAAAAAAAAAAAAAAGTTTTATTAATGACTAGCTAATCTCAGCTGTTTCAAAATACCTTTCATTCCCTCCTTCACTTGTATCTTTTATAACAGGTGTTTAATATTTTTTTCTTATTTGATTCACTCAGATATGAAACTGAAAGGCTTTTAGCTTAATAAGAATGATAAGATGGAGATGTTTATATTCTACATGAATTACATTTATATTCCCATTCAAAATTTTGCTAGTTTTTTCACATTTCAAATGAAATTCATTATTCTTCTATGGCCCTTAGGGTTTAATGTTTAGATTAATTATAATAATATTCTTCTTGGAAGCCTAAACAAGAGCACCTCAGGAATAAATATAGCAGAGTACTCCAAACTAAGAAACCAATAATGAAAGAAAGAAAGAGAACATTAACAGTCAATGTGCATTCCAATCATGCTAAATACAAGTGTCTCAAACCGTATAGTGCTGAAGTGTTGACTCCTTTGAAATACCTCAAGCACCATAGACTCTTGTCACCTTGTAATATATCCTTATAATTTGTCTTGAGCTTCGCAACACAACTGACTTTATATTCTTTAAAAATCATAAGTAATTAAAAGTAACTAAAATTAAAGGATATAATCAACCTACCAGAGTCTATGGGATAGAAAATATTATTGTTCTGAAAAATTTATAAAGAAATATTTGGGCTAATTCTATATCACATTTGTTTATTTGTATGCTTTAGAATTGCCAGTTTTTGCAATTTATTTTAAGCCCAATCTAAAGAGAAATGCATAATCCTTAATGACCCATTTTATACAGATAATCAGAATATTGTATAAGCATGCATTTATAAAGAAAACCTACCTACACCCGGGCTGCAGATATCAATATCCTGTTTCCTATTGCTGAAAATCATGCTTCATATATTTTGTACCCATGCACAGATTTGGTACAAGTTCATACCCTGAATTTTTAAATATACCTATATAATTCTTATCTGTGAGACAAAACATATTTCATATTTGGGTGCTCAAAAGTAAAAAATCTCATTCATAATTGCACATAATTATTTACAAAATAGTTTTATAGAAAAATTGACATACTGTATATACTATAAATACCTGAATGATTTAACCCAGTAAATCTCTCATCTAGCCATTAATAAATATGCATCACGTTAAGGAAACTTCTATGCAAAATACTTAAATTTTAAGTTGGGAAATGACCTAAGCTTTTTGCAGTGGTATTATAACCAATAAGGTTGATCTTTGCTACATTCAAGCTCGACATAATTTGCAAATTTGTACGGGAAAAGTTTTCACTGTTGACACACCTTGCTTTTTGGGTAACACTGTAAACATAATGAAATCAAGTGGCACCCTACCTACTCATGGTAACCTCACTGACAACTTTCTTTGGGATGGGGCATATGGGGCAGTTTATTTATTTGAGTTTTTGTTGTGATGAAGTATTGCTAACTATGGCTGTTAAAAGTATCACTTTTTTCAGTGCAATAAACATGAGTTTATTCATGTGTTCACTTTTTCCTTGGGATTACTCTAATATAACAAATGCATTTGTGTTCAGGTTCCATGAACAACATTAGGAATAGCTATCTTTATTAGCTCAATATTACCAGTATTTAAAACTAATCATATTTATTGTCCAGTTGAGCCTTATTTACCACCCATGCACATGTGCCCTAGTTCCCCCCAAGTGTCTAACTCAAGATTACTCAAGCATGCATAACCATTCTATTACCCAATTTCATCACATAGAGACCTCTTTCATAAAGAGAACTCTCATCTTTCCTCTTGCTTTACCATGCTGGGGGATGGTGATATACATGCAGCCTTCTTGGCACATGGGCCATGTTTTTGTCTCCTGTGTGCAATGTGCACAGGCCTTAAGTTGTGAATTCCTGTGAAGACCAGCACCTAACAGTGTTGACTTCTCATTGGTACTGCCACTGATGTGCCCCCTACCCAATACTATGGTTTTCATTCCTCAGAGATAGGCATGTTCTGCTTTCAGCAGTTCTGGCACTCCATAATCATCTTTAATAGTAATGAGTGGCATTCTGAAGTTTCTACCACTGAGCAGTTACACATTGACTACCACCTTCCAATATGTTGTTCCCAACAGATACATGCAACAATTTGGATGCCTTACATGTGGGCTATTTTTCTCACTAGGACCCTTGTTAGAAGATTGACAAAGCTCCTAGTAAGTGAAACTTACCCTACAATAAAGTATTCACAACGCTGAATGGATATCAATTTGCCTAATTGA